GTGTGAGGAAGGGCGGGGGTGGGAGAAGCTGGGGGCGTGCGGAGGGCAGCTGAAGAGGTTGGGGGGGGCTCTGGGCTGGGGGGGCTGAAAAAGCCGGAGGGAAACTGGAGATGGACCATAAATTCAGACAAATTCAATTCATAACGCAGGCCTTGCCCCTGTCCAAAATGCCGTTTAAGGGAGATGTGGGGGTAGAAGAGGGGGCAGCTGGAGGGTGGATCACGCTGTGCCCATACTTTCAAACCAGCTCGGTGTTCCTGACTGGACAGGCACCAATCCTGCCTTTTTTTTTTGGCGTTTTCCTTGCCATTTCAAAGGGATTTCAGAAAAATAAAAACCAAAGAGTGATGAATGGTGTGGCTTTTAGAGCGAGCCAGTCCGACAGATGTATTTGCTTGCGTGAGGCATGGTACTGTGATAATTTTATAGCAACACTGGGGTAGCTGTTCCTGGATCAGCTCCAGTTGTGTTGGCGCTGGTGTTTGTGAAGGGAGGTGGGTCGGAGCTGCGCTGGCTGAAAACCAACCCAGGCAGAAAATGGTTAATTTTCACTTAGTCCCAGCCTTGCTCCATCTCAGCGCCCGGGGTGGTAGGAGGTGGTGGGGAAGCACTGTTTAGGAATAAGGAGAATCAAATCAGCCCCTAAAGCAGCCGTTTTTATTTGCAGTGATGGTTTAAAGTGACCGTAAGGCCGTCAAAAGCCTTTGCGTGCAGCTTGTTCTTATGTTGGAGACAGGTTTAAATAGGCACGTTGTCTTTTTCTGCCCTTCGATTATACCTCACACAGTGGGGTCCCAGCTGGGTTGGTGTGGTGGGTTGACTCTAGCTGGGCACCAGGTGCCCACCAACGCCCCTCCTCAGCTGGACACGGGAGAGAAAAATATATCGAGAGGCTCCTCAGTCGAGATAAGGTCAGGGAGACCCCCCCAGCAGGGTTTGGGGTTTTTTTTTCCCCTTCTTAAATATGTTATCGCAGAGGCGCTACCACCGTCGCTGGTTGGCTTGGAGCAACTGGTATTGGCTCTATCAGGCACAGGGAAAGTTTCTAGAAGCTTCTCACAGAAGCCACCCCTGTAGTCCCCCACCAGGTACCAAAGCCTTGCCACGCAAACCCAGCACAGTTGGGAATTTTGTTTGCTATTGCTGGGATGAAGAGCGTATTTTAATGAGACTGGTGGCCTCAACAGCCTGTGATGGAAAACTTGGAAGATCTCACCACTGGCTCCTCTCTCTTCACTGAGGGCAGCAGTGGGGGCTGGTGTTTCTTCCGTGCTCTGTCTGCTGCTGTGGAACTGCTCAAACTTCAGTTTTATTTTGTTCCTAACACCCTTGAGCAACTGTATTTTTCAAGAGGACATTGCCAGAGCCTGCAGTTGTGTTCATGTTGTTTGGGTTATGAACATTCAGACGTAAAGAAAGTGCATGAATACTGGCTAAAATAAGATGGTGCCTTTGTTATCAAGGGTATTTTATTGTATTAAAATTATGCCTTTGAGGAAGCTATTGGATGTCACTGTTACTCTTGTGCTGCTTGTTTTGTTAAAGCAGAGAGAAAGAGCTTGCTCTTGCCATGCTCCTGCTTTAGCATAAAGGCTTCAAACCTTGATTTCTATAACTAGAAATGTGTTTAAAATAAAGTTTGGTTTGTGTTAATGGCATGCTTAAGTAAAAGTATTGTACTGTGAATAAAATAATGGTCTCCTTTTTTCAAGGAATCAGGTTGATAGCGAAGCATCTGAGAAATGGCCACACGCCTCAGATCGGTAAGTTGAGGACTCAAATGATGCTTTATGAAGATTTGTCTTGCAGAAACATATTTTCATAGATATTTCTTCTGAAGATTACCAGGGAAGACATGAGACTGTTCCTCCATTGATGCCAACTCTAGAGACATTGCTGGGGGAAACGTGATTTTCCAAGGAATCGTTTGCTGTCGCTGGTTCCAAAGAGATCCAGGAATGTTCCACCCCTGCCAGGAATACCAGCGGCATTGTCAATGCTGCCAGATTGATTGCTCTGGAGATGTAGTTACTCCAGGATCATTTCTACACGCCTTATAACATTATTCCATGTTTTAGGGCAGATAAAGGCCGGGTTGAGGCCCCTGAGATCTATTAGACCCTGTGGCCTCTTTCTATGATTACTGCATTAAATACAGGAGGTTAGAATATGGAAAGAGTAATGTTTTGCTTAGCTCAGAAGCTCAGAGAGCTGTTTGGACATTACTGTTAGGAGTGCAATGTATGAAGCTTTCTGTTGCATTCCCTGCGGTTCTTGTTTATAGAGAAATTTCAACCTTCTGAACTATTTTCTCGTTAATTCATACGAAGCTTATGGAAGACCAGTGAGTCTCAGAGATTTAGGAAACAAAGAAAGCAAAAAAAAAAACCAAAAACAAAACCACAAACCAACCACCAGCCAAACAAAACCAGCGCAGCATCATGAACAAGCTGTTGTATTTTCGCAGTGCAACACTAGATAGGGAGTAATTCACAGCCTGAAATCAGTACAATCATGCGTAGCCTGGCTTTCTACCTGTGTTTTTTTAAACTGCTAATTAATCCAGGTGCAGCAGTTACCAGAATCGGTGTAACAGCAGCTCATTGAGTTGGTCCATGTAGTACTTTCCCAAGATGTGTGCGTCTTAGATTGCATTGCATATTATGAATGTGCACTAAAGATTACTTAAATAGTCTGCTTCTCATCACCAGTTAGAATACCGTCCTTTGCTTGGGCAAGTGGAAAACTATCATACAGAAAAACCTGGACTCTCTTATCTGTGCTGGTAGAAAATGATTCTGATACTTAGAGCCAGACAGAGGGCGTCAGTCTGCCACTGTAGAGCTTTGCTTCAGCACATCTAAGCGCAGCGTGCAGTTTGGGTGATCGCATTTTATGAAGAACATGCTGCAATGAGAAAGGGTACAGGGGAGAAGACAAGTAAAAATATCAATGGAGCGGAGTGACGGCCTTTTGAGGAGGAGCTGAAAAGGCTAGACCCCCTCAGCAGGGAGAGGGCACCACAGAGGGGAGGGGTGTGATTGAGTTTAGAGCATCAGGAAGCTGATGGGTAAAGCAAATGCAAAGCTATTGAAGTGGGGGAGTACGAGGAGACTGAACTGCAGAGAGTCCTTAGGCTCACGCATTCTTTCTGTATCGTCTGTTCTCTTGCAACTGAAAACCAAACAGACCACTGGGCCAACCCATTAGAACGTTTTTTAAATTATTTTAATTCGACCGTACTTTGCATGCACTGTTCTAAATAATTGGTTATGCTTTAACATACCTGAGCAACTGCAGTGAACTCTTCTAATGTCTATTGCAGATAATTGTCACTTTGCAGTGGATATACCTGAGCAACTGCAGTGAACTCTTCTGTCTATTGCAGATAATTGTCACTTTGCAGTGGAACCTTTATTTAAGCATGTAGCACTTAGAAACTTCTGAACAATTGCTGTCTTTGTGTGGTTTCACTGGGTTAAAATGCCGGTCGGCTTGCTAGTGTTACTGCAGAGGTGGGGTTTGTGTAGCAACAATAAGGAGCAAATCTATTTCCAACCAGGACGGAGCATTCTTTGTACAAAAGCTTCCTCAGGCCCATTGCTTGTACAGTCTGTGTTGGTGGTAAGGTCTTCAGTCTCAGTCCAGTTAGATGAGTGACCAGACCGGAATCTGTTAATTAGTGATCTGGCCATTGATTTTAAAAGCTTAAAAAAAAAAAGAAAGGAAGAACTAATGACTAACTAAAAAGGCCTTGCCTTTACCTGATTTCTTTCTTGGCTTGGAGAAGCCTGTTTCACATGCTCTGAAAATGGTTCTGTCCTTGCTAATGGTGACAGTTTTAGTGTTCTGAATTATCTGTGCCATGTGGCTGGAGCAGATTCTGTTTGCTTTACCATCAGGGCAGAGCTTTTGGAGTCAGTCCTCTTTTTCTTCCATACTATGTGAGCCACTTGGTTATGAGGCAGAGTCCTGCCAAATGCAAACCAGCGTGTGAGCCGTGCAGACCATCAGCATGTCTGGACTTATAAGTTGCTGTGATAGCACGGACATATTGGAGAGTCTTTGGGTATCTGAATTTAGACTCCTCCAATTAAACCAGCTGCTGACTAGCTGTGCAAAATTCTAGCACATTAAGCCCTCAGGAAGTTCAGAGCAGTTTACTTGTGCAGTTTGCTGGTGTATGTCTGCTTGCTAAAGTGCTTTTCTCTCCATCTCGGCAGGCTGGGAAGAAATGTACGGTGATCGGCGGGTCAGGATTCTTAGGCCAGCACATGGTGGAGCAGCTCCTGGAGAAGGGTTACGCAGTCAACGTCTTTGATATTCAGAAGAGATTTGACAATGACAGAGTGCAGTTCTTCCTGGGAGACCTCTGCGACAAAGAGGTACAGACTAACAACAGTACATGGCATGGGTAGATAGAAAGGATGTCTGTTTAAATAAATGTTCATTCAGTCAGCTTACTGAGCCTCACCTGAAGTGCTGAGACGCCTGGAGGTGTTGTACGGGTTATAAAAGGGTAAGTAGATGTGCCCCCCAACCTTTCCCTGTCAGCAGCCTAAAAGTCAGCAGCCTAAGGAGTTTTCTGTGGAACCCTCACCTAGAACATTTAAAGAAATGTACTTGATGTCTGCTTGAAGCTGAAAGGAACAGAACTTGTTTCCGTATAATGATTTGCATTACTGTTGGCTTAGATATACAGTCTAATCACAGTCACTGTTGGTAATTGCATGTGGGTGCTCTCCCTGCTAACCTCAGCTGCAGGAGAACGGCAGAATTCCTAACAGTGAAGGCACGCTAGGAGCTCTTGCCTTAACTCAGTCATGTGTGTGAGCCTTGGCAAAAACATTTGTATGCAGTGTGAAGAGACCTCCCCCGACCAGTGTAAAGTGTCATGTCTGGGAGCTTTATGGCAGTCATCTCAAACACAGACAGTGCCATGGGGTACTGCTGGCTGTTAAACCTGCTGCTTGCTGAGTTTTCTAACTCCTATCTCAGGTAATTTTGAGTCTCATGCCTGCTCATGAGACTGTTGCAAGTAGTTAAGTCTGGATAGCCTCCAGGTCTCAGAAAGTTCCCAGGTTCTTCTCCAGAAAGAAAAGATGATGTAGTGCTCTTTTGGCTAGCAAGAAGGAGAGGACACTATGAAGATCCTGGATGCTGATCTTATTCCAGCTGCTCACCTTTATGGAAGGAATGTGACTTGAATTTTAGCAGTTTTGTTTCCATGAGAAAAAGAACTGTGTTTTATTTCCTTTTTTTTTTTTTTTCCTTAGTAGACACTACTGTTGCTTCATTCCTGTCTCATGCGATGTATCTTCTAGGCCTTGCTCCCAGCTTTACAAGGCGTGTCCGTGGCGTTTCATTGTGCATCACCAGCACCTTCAAGTGACAACAGGGAGCTGTTTTATAAGGTGAATTTTATGGGAACCAAAGCAGTCATTGAAGCCTGCAAAGAAGCTGGAGTGCAGGTAGGGGCAGAAAAGCACATGGAGACTATAAGACACTGATGAGACTTTATAACAATTGCAGCATGGACCAGTTTCCACCTAGTTTGATAGAGGGGCAAAGGTCTCTGAGATACCGAATTCCTACTTGTTCTGTGAAAATTAGTAGCAGAGAGAGACTCTGCTGGTCTCCCGCTTGGTCTCTGGTATAAGCTCAGTCCATGTTTGCCACAGAAAACCTACACGTTGCAATCTTCCTGACTGCAGGAAAAGCATCCATTAAAATTTGTCCTACTAGACATCTGGGAATCACCCACAGGAGAACCCTAACCAACAAGTGGATTCCTTCATGCTTTAATAAGGGGACAGCTCTAAAGAGAGCTTTTCCAGCAGTGGGAGTATTCATGGTGTCTATTACCTATGTGAATTCTTTGTCATATAATAAGAAGGAACGCACTTGTGCTGTAATCTCAGTATAATTTGGTTTAGAAGGTCATTTTTCCCTCAAAAGAAAGAGCCAGAGGAAACCAGGCTGCTCTTCAGGCAAGTTTTTTGGTTTTGTTTTTGTTTTCCCCTAATGTTATTTTGATATCACATGAGTTTGCATTTAAATTCTTAGCAAATTTTCAAGTGCAATGCATGTGAAGATCCCTTACTTATTTTGGGCAGAGGTGTTGCCTCCAAAGCATGCATTTTGCCCAGTGTCTGCATACAAATATGGAAGTGATAATGTTTAGAATTAAATTATGTCTATCACATAGGACTCCCAGCCCCACAGTTCGTTTTTTGTTGGGGTTTTTTTTTTCTCCCCCCCTCGTGTAATAAGCTGTTGTAGGAAATGGGCCACGCGGTGTTTCCCTTCAGGCTTCGCCTGGATTCTGTCAGAGCAAGGAGTTACGTCTTGTTGGAACTTGCTGGATCTAGCCATCTTTCTATTACAAGGTAGATCCTGTTTAAAACCACATGTTTCTGATTACTCAAATACATCACTGACTTCCTGTTTGGAATCCACTAGGGTACATTTTTATCCAACAGAAACATCCAAGATAAGAATTCTTTTTTGGTTTAATCTACCGTGGTATTGTTATCATCAAGATGAGCCAATGTATCTTAAAAACACTCACTGGGTGTTAAGTGCTAAAATGTGCCAAGTCAAGTGAGCGCTCTGATTTTCTTAGAGGTGTTTTCCCCTTGACTGTCTGCCTTGGATGTTTGTTGAAATGTTTTAATCTCCTAAAGGTAGCACTAAATGATGTGACAGAGTGCGAGTTTTCTTACCTGCAGGTGCAGATCATCTTCTGTTAGCCCATGTTCTTCAAGACTGAGTTTATAATCTGTAGAATCAATTGATTAAACATTGTAATTGTCTTTACTCAGCCTTTGTAATGAATGACCCTTTTGTCTTTGGCTTTAAACAACTGTTTTCTTTCACATCTGTTGCAGAAACTGGTGTTAACTAGCAGTGCCAGTGTAGTTTTTGAGGGCACAGACATAAAAAATGGATCAGAAGACCTCCCTTATGCAAAAAACCCTATCGACTATTACACAGAGACGAAGATTTTGCAGGAGAAGGTATTTGTCATCATAAGGTTAACGTTATTTTCGATGCTTAAAACTGCCCTTCTGAAAGTAGGGCATGCCCTGGGGGACACAACAGACTCTTCAAGGCTGAACAGACCTCTCTTGTTCTCCGGAATCTCTCTTTCATTGAAAAGAAGTATCTCGCTCTTACATTGCAAAGAAAATCTGCGCAGAATCATGCACACGGAGCAATGCCTGATGGAGTTTTCAGAGTGTAACTGGAATAGAAAATTCCCTTCTTTTAGACAAATCTGTCAGATTTTGGCCCTCTTATTCTCGGCACGGAGACTAGGGAGCTGTGGATTCATCTGTTCTGTTACAGAGAGGTATGGCAGGTGGCTGCCGCTTGCGTCTTTCACGAGTGCCCCATGTCCTTTTCCCTGGGCGTGCTGATGGGTTGCTCCAGGGGATGCTTTCCCAGCAGCTCTCAAGGAGTCCAAACACATAAGTACTCAGTTATGTCTTCCTTGGCTGGTGGAACTCCTATGTAGTGTATTCATTCAGTAAAAAGAGAACAAAATAAAGCTGTGACTTAAATTACCAGGGAAGTTGAATTAAATAGTGTGTTACACTACGGAGGTTGTTTCTAGAGAAAGAATAAAAGAACTGGCAGAGATGTTGCTTTCGTTGCAAGAGCCATGTGATCTCATTTCTTTACTGGTCCAGCTTTGTTTTAAGAGCAGCTGAGGGGAGTTTTTTGCCTTCTCTGCTCCTACCCGAAGGCTGTTTCAGAACCACATTTACCTGATTTGCAGCCTGAAGGTAGAGTTGGGGTTGTGAACAAGTCACTGGGGAAGGAGAAGATGCGATGGAGATGTGGACTGAGTTAAGGAGCATGCCAGCCTAATAGCGGTGTTGTAAGCTACTGCTATTGGCCACGTGCTGAAAATATTCCTGTTAAAAAAGGTCTGAAAATTCCCCCGACATCTGAATGTCCACTGCTTTGGAGATTTTGCAGATCACCAGTACCTGTTCTATTTCAGGTTCTTAATGCTGCAGTACTTGACAACATTTTAAATCAAAGCGAACAAATGTTTTTTTCAGGCTCTCTTCAGTGTCTTGCATTTCAGTCATGGAAAGCATCTACGCTTTTTGTGCAAGAAGAATTTATACTCGCTTCCATGCTGAAGCTGACAGCGCGTCCTCTAAAGCCGAGTATTAGCCTTTAAGAATTGCTCTTATGTTCCTTGAAAAGAGCTTAATTGACAACGCAGCATAAAAACATCTGTTCCTTCGCAAGCATAACCACTTTGCAGTAAGTGGATGAATAAAGTGGAAGCTTATGAGCAGCGATCAAGTCTAGCCCAGTATGCTTGTAACGATGGCTCTGTTTTGGGTGAAGCAGTGAAAATATTCGGTGTTTATTTGTGTGTGTTGTTCTTGGATTTTTAGTAGAAAATCCAGCAGTTGTTACAAATTAGCAGAACACGGCGTTTGGAAACTCCCAATAGAATTAAATCTTCTTTAAAGATGCGTTGCTGCATCTGCCTAGTACTTGGTGCTGCCGGGAAAATGGGATTGCACCCCTTCCGAATGCGATTGAGAGGGCCCGTGATGGAAGTCTTCCACTGACTGATGAGAGAGACAGAGATTGAATTGCTTCGCGCCCTTCTTTTCTCCAACGTGTCCATAAAGGATTCGTGCAGTGAAGGAGCTTTCAAAGCTCCTCTGGTTTCTGCGGTGTTAAATGAGAGAGGCGGAGTTCCTTTCCTTTGCCTGTCAATTTATTAAGTGTTCAGTGATGAAACCAGATTTTTGTCTGTTTTTCTCATTAAAAAGAAGAGGCGGGATCAAAGGAAGGATCATTTCTAAAGATATGGGTGGACAGTAATTCTTCCACTGACATCTTCCCGAGGAGATGGGGGAACGCCCACCCCCTTTAGTGATGATCTTGGAATATATTACTAAGCCATATTTTTCTTCCCAGCCTTTTCTGATTTTGTTTTCTTTTTTCCCTTACAGGAAGTGCTCAGTGCGAATGACCCAGGCAACAATTTCTTCACTACTGCTATTCGTCCCCATGGAATATTTGGTCCTAGAGATCCGCAGCTGGTTCCCATCCTCATCCAAGCAGCTAAGAGTGGCAAAATGAAATTCATCATTGGGTGAGCAAGGCTCAGTCATTTTATAGCTTTTGCTAAAAAGGATGCAAAGCCCTTTTGGAAAGGAATAATGTTAAATCGGTAGTGGTGGCGTGGCACGGAAAAAAAGCATGTTTCTTTAATTTTTCACTTGTGATCCAGGATTCTTTTTTCAAAAATCCTTCTGTGGTAGGGACTTGTGCGCTCAGGTGGGTAGCGTTCATAATGCAAAAAAAATATCAGTGGGGAAAGCTGACATAGCTTGAGCTTCCTTTGCATTGTCTAAGGACCTGTCCTTTTAAATATGAGAGCGCTCAGATTACTTGCTGTTAATTTAATTAATACACACTTCTGGTATTTGAGGTTCTTGCAATTAAAAAGCCTATGTGGCAGTGTTTTAATATTTCTGATTATAAGATCAAAGATATTTGCCTTGTTATTGAGCCTTGTGGGAGCTTCCAGTGGACCAGCAAAATTTTAGAGCAAGAAATGGTTCAAGCTACTACTAAGGATGTTTTTATTGGTTGTGTTATGCTCTTGAAAAGAAATGCATTCTTTAATGTATAATAGATTTTTTTTATTACTTGCAAGGAGCTGGTTTGTATGTATATGTGCACACGTGAATTTGTGATTGGGGTAGAAGGAAGAAAAGGAATAGGATTGTGGGGTTTGGGGTTCGCTTTTTTTTTTGTTCTTTTTCTTCCTTACAAAAGGAAGACCAAGATCAAGCTGATCTGTGAGCAGCAAACCCCCACAAAGCTAAGGTTTCCACTTTGTGCAAGTCTGCATTCTCTTTCAGCTCAAACACGCATTCCTCATTTGAGTTTTCCTACTGCTATAAGGACCTGTATATCCCTTCCAGGAAAGCAAATAAAATAGCCATTCATGCAGGAACGTAGGAAATGGAACTGATTCTTTCTCAGAAGGTTGGATTGCAGCAATACTGCTTTTATGGCCAAATGAGCGTGGGGATGGTTTTGTAAAAAACTGCTTGTTTGATTTAGCTGGACTCTTGAAAATGATACGCGGATTCATTTTAATTTTCTGTACCTGTGTAGCAACGGGTTTACCACAGTGGGTTAAATCTGTTCCAGCTAGGGCTGAAGTTGAGGGAGTAAGTCAGAATTTCATGAGCCAAGAAATTCATAACTTAAAGCTTGTCCTTAAGTGACTTTCTTTGTGCTGGTTACCACTCCGTTTCTGTTTGTTCTGCTTCTGTGGATCAGTCTGCCGATTCCAAGACTTGCAGGGTCTGTAACACCTAGAAACTTGGGAACTGGTGAGGTTTAAAAATGGTACTGTTACAGGAACGTGAACTTCGAGGGCCTTGACAAGAGCTGGGGCAATTAACAGCCTTTCCTCTGTCTCCAAAATAGTCTGTAGTGATTTCATCTTTGTGGGAGGGTATAGCCTGAAGTTGCAGCATGAGAGTGTGGGAGAAGAGGGAACTTGGAATAAATATACCCTGTGTGAAAGTCCTTCCTTTTGCTGCAAGCAGATTTTCAGCCTAACTTGACTTAGGGCTAAACTTCTTCCTTTTGTTTGTGCAGGGATGGAAAGAATTTGGTAGATTTCACCTATGTGGAAAACGTGGTCCATGGACACATCCTAGCTGCAGAGAATCTTCAGAAAGACTCTCCCCTGTGTGGGAAGGTAAGGAAGGACCTACCAAGGGGAGGGGAGTGGGTGTCCCCTAGCCAAACTTCATCTGCAAACCTCGCTTGGCTTCCTGTGTCTGCTCTGTAGTTTGTGCTGATTTTTGTCTGTACTGAACGTCTCTCTTGGAGATGACTGGAACTTGCACACACAGATGGCTCAATTTTTTTTTCTGTCTGTGGGTATGATGAATGGTTGCCCATCTGGTGACCGTTGCGTGCAACCACATGGGCTAGGATGTATGAACGTACTTCAACCATGCTATAAAACTCCTTGTGAAGGAAATCCAGGCAGAATTGTGGGCAGCCAAGATGCGTACGTAAGAAACATAGTTATTTAGCTTTTATGATAGGGTTCAGGACAGGAGAAGCTCATCTATACTTTCGTGGCACCACTGTGCTCTGGGCATGCACTGTACGTACAGCTAGGATGCTGTAATGTGTTTCCGTTGTGTTGTGTCTTTCAGTTTGTTTGACCATTTATGAGTGATCTTAACCTCTGGAGGGTCAGAAGTAGTTGGCTTTCTTAGCAAAGAAGGGGTTCGTCACTTTTCAGACAGAGGTGGTTAGTGCAAAGCAGTTTCTCAAAAAACATGTTCTCAGTCTCCTCAGCACGAACATGTGATGGGCCATCACAGAGACAAATTTATGAAAACCGTAATGACTTTATCATCTGGCTTTTTGTCTTCCTCTCTTTCAGGCATTTCATATCACAAATGATGAACCAGTTCCTTTCTGGGCTTTCATGTCCCGTATCTTGACTGGCTTGAACTACGATCCACCCAAGTACCGAATTCCCTATTGGCTGGCGTATTACCTGGCCCTGTTCCTGTCTCTAGTGCTGTGGCTGCTGAGTCCACTGGTCACCATCAAGCCCACTTTTACCCCTATGCGGGTAGCCCTAGCTGGAACGTTTCACTACTATAGCTGTGAACGGGCCAAAAGAGACATGGGCTACAAACCAGTGGTGAGCTTGGATGAAGCCATCAACAGGACTCTGCAGAGCTACCCCCATCTACGCCGGGCTAAGGCCTGAGAAGTCCTAGATGGATTTTTTTCCTACTTGATTTTCATAACTGCTTTGACAGGTTGATGTGAACACTGAAGCAAATTTCACTAATTCTCTGGAACAGGGAGTTTTCTTGAAGCCCCTCTTCCTCCTCACCATTATCTGGGTTGAAAAAAAAAACTTGCGTAGGAGCTGTGCTAACAGTTCTTCTCTTTGCTGTGACTT